TAACCTCGTCTACGACTCATGTCTGTAACCATATACTGGTATTTATTTCCTACCGAGAAATCCTATTACAAGCTGGTCTGGACAACTATACTAAAAAAGAGATCACTTATGACTTCTTGAGCTACAGAGATGAAGAGAAACAGCATAAATAAAATACCACAATACTTCTATATTACTGTGCCTCATTATTATATTCTGTAAATCAACATTATTGCTAACAACGTGGTTCTTCCGAATTTCCTCTGTTCATACGACTAGCGTCTCATAAGTTATCTCACTACTGAATTGTCTTCATTAACCTAGATAAGCGCAGGTGTGCAGTTATTGTTAAGATATTAAAAAAGTCTGAGTAAACATACATTTGTTTTATCTATAAACCGAATGAGTAAACATATAATATTCTCAAATAACAGCGCGCTACAAGAGTCACGCCAGTTTACAGGCTAGATCTAATTGTCACAAATGCTTACATTTTTACTGCAAAAGTTATCGCAGTTAAATTAAGTGTAAGAATCAGTTTCTGATAGCATATTTACACCATGTCACTAACAGAAACAGTTCGGTACAGCCACATTTTCAATAGTAGAGTACAAATAAGGAAGGTGCACAATAGGTTCTTTTGGCGATTTGCCGAGATCAATATTGAATTTGTTGGGAAAGGTCGATTGGGACGCACTTCGTACGAGCTGTGATCCAGACAGTCATGTTCAAAAGGTGCATGTTCCGTAGAAGCTCCAAGGATTTCCCACCGTGAATAGGGTTCTGAAAAGGAGAAAAGAGAGAGAGAAAGGCAGCAGAGTGGCAAGTGTATATATATAACTAAAGCAATACTTAACCTGTCATGTTGAAGTAGTCAATACAGTGGTAAGTCAAGATAAAATTCATACTGACCACTAAAATTAAAGTAAATTATGGGAATATAAGAATACAACACACAAATGAAGGAGAACAGCAATGAAGAAAGAAGAGTTGTGGAGTGTCAAGTGGATAGAAGAGATGTTGAAGTAAGAAGCTGGATTTATGTACGCTGAAATCGAGATTTCAGTTAAAAGAGTAGAGTTTCTAAAAATGAAACATTGATGGTGAAAGGTTCTTACAATAATTTTAAATGAGCCTAACAGCACAAAGGGAGGGTGATTGGAAGCATTGATAATGAGGGCTATGACATCAATCAACTCATATGCGTGGGCCAGAAAATTATGTTTGCTTCCTACTGTCTTAGAGTGATGAGGTGAATATCTTATTTAAATATTAACAGTTTAAAAAATTTTTATTCCCCCAATTCATTAACATCCAAACACCTTGCCTGATAAACAACTTATCGATTTACTCATTACTGTTTAACATTATTTCAACTCTTTCTTTCTCTTTCTCCTCTTTCCAGCCCCCTGTCCTTCCTATCTCCAAACAACCTAATAAACTAAACACCTTACAAATTATACCATTAGTTTACCTAAAATCAGTGTGTTATGCTACGTGGATATTTTGTCTGGCAAATTTGTCTGGATTGCTTGTAATGTGGAGCTAGTAGAGAAAGTTTATTCCGATAAGGTGTGTTAAAAATAGAGAGTAGACTAGAGACCATTATTTACAATCAACCATTAAACGTAAGAGAGCCTAACATCACAAAAGGAGGGAGGGTGGTGTATCTGACCAGCATTCATGACGGTGGGGCGATAACCTCAATCTACGAATGTCTGTGTGGCAGAACATTTTGTTTGCTAACGACTCCTTACGATATGTCAGAATGTAACAAATCAGTGATATTGATGTTACTTTTCCTTGTTCAATTTGTCTACGACTCATGTCTGTAACCTTGCACAGGTTTACCGTCCTATCAAGAAATCCTATTACAAGCTGGTCTGGACAACTATACTAAAAAAGAGCTTACTCATAACTTCTTGAGCTGTAGAGATAAAAAGGAACAATAAATAAAATACCACAATACTTCTATATTACTGTGCCTCATTATTATATTCTGTAAATCAACATTATTGCCAACAACTTCGTTCTTCTGAATTTCCTCTGTTCATAAGACTAACTTCCCATTAGTTATCTCACTACTGAATTATCTTCATTAACCTACATAAGTGCAGGTGTACAGTTATTGTTAAGATATTAAAAAAGTCTGAGTAAACATACATTTGTTTTATCTATAAACCGAATGAGTAAACATATAATATTCTCAAATAACAGCGCGCTACAAGAGTCACGCCAGTTTACAGGCTAGATCTAATTGTCACAAATGCTTACATTTTTACTGCAAAAGTTATCGCAGTTAAATTAAGTGTAAGAATCAGTTTCTGATAGCATATTTACACCATGTCACTAACAGAAACAGTTCGGTACAGCCACATTTTCAATAGTAGAGTACAAATAAGGAAGGTGCACAATAGGTTCTTTTGGCGATTTGCCGAGATCAATATTGAATTTGTTGGGAAAGGTCGATTGGGACGCACTTCGTACGAGCTGTGATCCAGACAGTCATGTTCAAAAGGTGCATGTTCCGTAGAAGCTCCAAGGATTTCCCACCGTGAATAGGGTTCTGAAAAGGAGAAAAGAGAGAGAGAAAGGCAGCAGAGTGGCAAGTGTATATATATAACTAAAGCAATACTTAACCTGTCATGTTGAAGTAGTCAATACAGTGGTAAGTCAAGATAAAATTCATACTGACCACTAAAATTAAAGTAAATTATGGGAATATAAGAATACAACACACAAATGAAGGAGAACAGCAATGAAGAAAGAAGAGTTGTGGAGTGTCAAGTGGATAGAAGAGATGTTGAAGTAAGAAGCTGGATTTATGTACGTTGAAATCGAGATTTCAGTTAAAAGAGTAGAGTTTCTAAAAATGAAACATTGATGGTGAAAGGTTCTTACAATAATTTTAAATGAGCCTAACAGCACAAAGGGAGGGTGATTGGAAGCATTGATAATGAGGGCTATGACATCAATCAACTCATATGCGTGGGCCAGAAAATTATGTTTGCTTCCTACTGTCTTAGAGTGATGAGGTGAATATCTTATTTAAATATTAACAGTCTAACAAATTTTTATTTACCCAATTCATTAACATCCAAACACCTTGCCTGCTTACCAACTTATCGATTTACTCATTACTGTTTAACATTATTTCAACTCTTTCTTTCTCTTTCTCCTCTTTCCAGCCCCCTGTCCTTCCTATCTCCAAACAACCTATTGACTGAAACATCATACAAATTATACCATTAATTTACTTAAAATCAGTGTGATATGCTACGTGGATATTTTGTCTGGCAAATTTGTCTGGATTGCTTGTAATGTGGAGCTAGTAGAGAAAGTTTATTCCGATAAGGTGTGTTAAAAATAGAGAGTAGACTAGAGACCATTATTTACAATTAACCATTAAACGTAAGAGAGCCTAACATCACAAAAGGAGGGAGGGTGGTGTATCTGACCAGCATTCATGACGGTGGGGCGATAACCTCAATCTACCCATGTCTGTGTGGCAGAACATTTTGTTT